ATTCGCTGCAAATAGTTAATGAGATGATATGCAGCATGCGCAGTATTTTGGAAATCAATACTTTAATGATATACATTCCTGTAGAATTTTACTGGCTGACAAAAATATTCATATATGACCTGTGAATTTACTACGTTTTATTCGTTTAATTAGTTATTTCCTGTCTTTTTTGCATTGATGAATATTCAAAAAATTATAAAGATATATTTTTCAGACAATATAGAAGGTTCAAAAGAGACATACGATGTATAAGATTAATAGAAATTGTTAAAAGAAAAATCAGTATTTCCGGTTTCCTCCGGATCAGTTCCGCCTCTTAATTACTAAAGTAACCAATAACTATATCTTATACTTCAAAAATGTATTACCAATAGAACGATTAATGCAGAACGTAAGACCGGAATATTCTGTTTTGTTATTGTTGTTGTTGTTGTTTTAAAAAGTTATAGATGAAGCAAACGTTTAAAATCAATTTGTATGATTTATTATTTGTGATTTGATGCCAGATTCTTGCAATGCCATTTATAATTGGTAACAATCCATCAGCTGTTAACCTTTTGATATGTTTATTATATTTTTGATCTATTCTGCATTTTAGCTATTTTATCAAAAATGAAATTAAATTGAAATTCCATTGTTGCATCAAGTTCACTCGCTATAATTAAATTCATAACACGTTTCTTTTTTCGTGTTTTATAAATTTGGAGAATTGTTTTAAGGTATTTCAAAGTTATAGAAGGATTAAATATATCTAAAATCATAATATGTTGAAAATGAAAATCTGTCAAAGATTACTATTGATGATCATGGTAAAAATTCACGGGATAAGCACGTTTATTTTTCAGAGATATTTAAATCACTTCGTATTAAAAGTAAAAACAAATCACGTTCAGGTTTGACAATGAGCAACAACTTTAATTGATTTTATTGCTCTGCATATAAAAATGAAAGCATTGCTCGGCAATTATAAATGATTGAATGATTTCTTTCATTTCCCACATAAATTTACATTGACATGTCCAATTAAAAAAATAATGATGGTTAAACGTATTTATACCCTCACCTTTCTAAAGTCATTAGGTTTGAAACACTAGGAACAAGACTTACGATGAAATACAATTCATCACAGATGAACATTAACGCGTTAACAGTACCGCTTAAATCTATTATGTGCTTATAACATATTACACCTGACAAAGTATCGTCTGTTAAGTAATGATTTGCGTAATTTGCCAGAACTTATTTTTCCTTTTGAGTATTATACCATGTTTTAATCATTTTCCCTTTTCCTACAACCGGAGTGCTTTGAGTACTTGATTGAAATATTGCATACTGTTCTCATATGTGACGTATTTCTGTATTTCATAAATAAATGTTTTTATTTTATGCTTTTCAGTGGATTACTGATTTATCCGTGAAAATTATATTTTCACACTTTTCAATGACGAAACTACTTTTTTAAGATTTTTCCCATGTGGTACCTCAATTTTATTTTTGCTAACAATTCTGACAATGTCAGGCTGTTTAAAGAAAATGCAAAGCTGAAATTGATAAATAACTTAAATGCCAAAAGTAATAAAAAGAAGAAAACTTACTTCTATTCATTCAAATTCCAATCACCAAATTTCATCTCTTAATTTTTTGTTTCATTTTTACAGTCTGACAAATACATGCCTTCCACATGCAAACTGCTCTTGATGACATTTGGGAACATTAAAGTATCCTACGAGCAATAACTGCCGTATGCTTTATGGAAAAATGAAAAGCAATGACAGCTATCAGCTAGTAGAACAAGTAAACCACCCAGCGTTCCGAGCAAGTTCCATGTTTTCCATTTTCATAGATGCTTTTTTTCATGTTTTCACATCTGTCAACACTTAATTTTTGTCTGTTTCAATCCTCAAATATGTTTTCTTTCTTTTAAAAAGGTGTATGACTAACAAATCCAAATGATATCCCTCTGAATCAAACACAATTATTTTCCTCCCGTGAAATACACAACTTTAAAAAAATGGCTGCCGCTTACATTTAACAAAGCCATGTCTAATATAAATACGCAGTAAGTAACAGAAATATGGATGGATGGTTGGAATTTTTCTCCTACAAGAATTGTTTGTTTTTATTATTAAAACAAGCGATCATTCATATTTTTTTTTAACAAAATTAATAATATCACTGTCATTTAACGTTGATTGTCGGAATTATTTTTCAGCTCAAGACTTCCTGTTTTTAATGAGAAATTCCGACTAAATGGGGCTCTTAATGGGGAAAACAGGTTTTAATATTAACGTTAATATTATGGAAATTTCGTTGTAACTTGTTTTTTAGCATAAAATAAAAAGAAAATTTGTTTGTTTGTTGTGTAAGATGTAATTTTATTTCATCTACGCCACTCGTGAGAATACTCTATTTAAAGCCCACTCGATGAAATAAAATTTCATCTTACACACAAACAAACAAATATCCGTTATTTAATAATGTAAAATTACTGTTAGTTTACAATAAAGACAATGCTATCGCTTTTTATTCTGCGATTCTGAAATATAAAGTTTTGTCTCATATATCATAAATAGTTTGTTTGTTTGTATGTTTATTACTGTTTAGTCAAAACCGACTTTCCTTCATAACTAACAAGTAATTGCCAATATCTCGCAAGTGACCAGCTACTTATCTCATTCAAAAATGGCCATAACATTCAATTGCCATGGTGGAGTTTCCTCTCTCCCGGTGTACGAACTAACAACGCTATGATCCAAACACGTATGCATGTAGGTTAAGAAATCGTATCGGCTAACAAGAGCACCTTATTGGATCCAGCTGGGAGTATTTCGCTTTAATAATATACAGATTTAGACAATTAAGAAATAAACGAGACATTGTGTTTACTTATAATCATAAACAAGATAAAAGTGGCGTTGATAAGCTAATCTTTGAAAGAAAATCAAGTTGCATGTAATGTTCAGCAATTTTGATGAAATGATATGCAAAATGCGTAGTATTTTGGGAATAAACACATTCATGTTATACACTCCTGAAGCAAATTACTGGCTTACAAAAATATTGATCTAAGTTATGTGAATACCTGTGGATTTACTACGTTGTATTCGTTTAATTAGTTATTTCCTGTCTCTTCTGTTTTGCATTGATGAATATTTAAAAAAATATAAGGATATATTTTTCAGACAATAAAGAAGGCTTAAAAGAGACCTCTAAGATTAATAGAAATTGTTAAAAGAAAAGAAATTTACTTATCCGGTTTCTCCTCCTTACATACAAGCAGCAGATCCGTCTATCAAGTACTCAAGTTACCAGTAAATATATCAAACGTTTACTGATATATTTAAACGTTTCACGGCGACGGAGGAGGAAGTGTTTATGGTATGCTATACATTATAACTTCAGTGAGCTCAAACGTAAATAGTTACATATTTATGAAAAAGGTATTTATCTATTTTGTACATCTTTAGTTTTAACATGGATTTTAAAGGTACAGAAGACCTATTCATGTTTAAGAGATATTACGATTTATAATTATTATTGTTATTATTGTAGCTTAAAGTATATGGCATTACAGATATCTATAATATTTCTTAAATTAATGTTTAGGACGGTGATTCTGTGCAACAGACTAATACATTTGGTTGTTACATTTATCTTTCTTTCTCTCGATTGTTTTCCTGTTACCAGATGACATAATATTTAATCATAAATCGTTATTTCTCTTAAGCGTGAATTGACCTTTTGTATCTTAAATTATTGAGAAAAACAAAGGATTATATTGTACATTAAAGTTTTGAACACTTCAAACGTATTAAAATTAAAAGGAAGGAAATCCACTTGACAGAGTCAAAACAGTTGTGTAGGAGACAATATGAATACATGTGCGTTCCGATTGCTATATATTACTTTTATGTATAGTCAAACTAATATTGGGGCGTTCTGCTTGTTGTGTTACTTTCATTTACTTAGCAATTTCTATGTAATAAAATGAGTCTTTTGAGAAATTAAAAAATGTGTGATAATCAGTGATTTCATTGCGGAAGGAAACGTTAATAGCTATAAAAACTGAATAAAAAAACGTAAAAATGGCAATCGTATAAAGGTATATAAGATTTATTTTTTTGTATAAATTAAAGACGTTTTTACTGTCGATATAACCATTTATTTTTTTTAATAAAATAATTTTCATTTTCAGATTAATAGATAGAAACCTATACATTGAATGTAAGTTGTTTTTTTTTACACGGTTTAACACTTGCCTTTTATAACTGATAACAAAATATCATCAACCGAAGTAATTCCAGATTATTCTATTTCATTAATTTATCAATTGTAAAAACTTTAGAAAATTGTTTCTTTGTTCTTGTATTACAATCGACATTGACATTTATCGTGATAAAATGTTTTCATTTCATTAGTCAAGTGAATGATGAAGAGACTTATTTCAAATAATAGTTGATCCGTGCGATATCAATATCGAGAGGAAAATAAAATGCTAACATTTACAACGACATTTACAATATTACTTTTGGAATATTTGTAACAGTGTTCGCGTTTAATAATTCATTTTCACATCTGCAATAACTACTTTTATTTCAGTTTCCATTTCACAAAGAACAGTTTTGTGGGTTGAAAATAACAGAAGGATTTATAGCGGTTGCTTTTTATTTTCAGTGTATGGAATAAAAAACATAACGAAAGAAAGAAAGAAAAGGAGAAAGAACAGATGGACTAAGAAGAGGATTACATAATGATCAGTTTAAAGAAAAAGAAGAGTAGTTAATGAAAGGGAAGGAAATAACTAACTGCCACGTATTGTTAACAAGTGATAATAAATTAAAGGTTTCGGAAATGGTGATCGAAAATATAAATTGATTCATTTGATATCAAATAAACGTATTAGAGAATTTAAACAAAACATTGAAAATGAACAACAAGTTTACTAAATACACAAATGTAACGCATTCATCTTTTGTAAACTACACATATGATTACAATGGTGAATATATGTATCCAGGATACACGTTTGAAAGACCAGTCTATCTATATGTCTGGGAAACTTTGGTTGTTCTCTGCTGTGTTCAAAACATTCTTGTCCTGTCCGTCTTCATGCACAGGAAAATGCGAAACCCAACTAATAATGTTCTATCAGCCATAGCAGTCTCGGATTGTTTAACCGGACTTGTTACTTTACCAGCATACATCATGGTGTATCAGGAGTTCGACCTATTTATAGCAAATAACTATGAATATGGATACGGTAACCAAACAACTCTTCAACCACCAACACACCCACCTGTTGATGGATATGTCCTTACTAAGAGTTTATGTCGTGGTTTCATGTTCTCTAAAGATGTTTTGTCCAAGTCCTTTCATACGATTTCGATATTTCTTACTTTATTTCTCGAAATACAGAAGTATGTTTCAATGGCATATCCATATAAATATGAAACGTGTTTTAATCGGCTTAAAGTAGTGAATATATACTGCGTGTTGACATACCTAATGTGTCCTTTGCTATATGTGTTTCATCTAGTCAGAGAGAAAGCCGAAGATGGATTATGCCAATGGGAGATTCCAGTCACAGAATGTGCAAAGGATTGTATATACTTATGGGTCGCATTTGTGGTCCGGCATTTTATTCCTAGTGTAACACTTCTTACATTCACAATATTATTCATGTACCAACTTAAAAAGGGGGAAGAATCGTTTAAAAGAGTTGATAGCAATTCATCGCAGTATTCAAGAAGGGTCAGTGAGAATAGGCGCATATGTATTGTAGTGACTACAGTAGTAGCCGTGAGGTTGGTCCCAGAGATACCATATTGTATGTTATTATTATATAACAGTGTTGACCTGACATTCAATATGGGTAAAGGCATAGACATTGAGACAAATAGAATAATTCATATGACCTTTGAACTGTGTCTTATAATAACGTTTCTGGCTAACTTTTATATATACATTATTGTCAATAAGACATTTCGGAAACACTTGTATCACACAATATTTTTGCCTTTAAGAACCAAACTCTACCATACATTAAGTCATAAACGGTTGCCATTTTCAACTCTTACCAATAGAAAGGCCTCAGCTGTAAAGAAGACTTCTGTTACGCCAGGGGAAAAGATAGAATTTAAAACAATTCAAACGGAAGGTTTATGCAAAACTATTAAATAAGATCTAAACGTTTAGGAAAAAACATTGAAAGTGCAGTGAATGATCATGTACAACTTACTACTGTTGTTGCAATTATGCAATACTTTAAGAATAGTCCTCTAACAGGGCTTACATATACCTTTAATAATTGGACATTGAGATTTTGCTATCATCTGATCTTCGCTTATAAAAAAGAAATATGTTTGATAACTTATTTGTGTTCAATAAAGGATGTAATGTATTTGATATATTTTGTCATTTTTACATTTGTGGACTTAAAATTATTAGTATGTTGCATAGTTTATTTTCTTTTAAATAAAAAGGCAATAAGTATTACCGTCATGTTTAAACGTGTTTTTTTTAGTTTATGCACAGATGTTCAGATATAATACTAAATACTTTGTGTTTTTGAGAGCTTTTATAAATGCTTGATCTACACAAAGCAAGATCATGAATGCATAGAAACCAATTAATAAATGTTTGTTCCGTTTTTTTTATAATTATTTTATTTTTTTATTATCTTTATTATGATAATGCGATGATGATCATGGTGATATTTGATATTTATTTTAATGTAGTTATTTGTTAAACAACAAATGTGAGTCCTGACTTGTTTTATCCTTTGCTTATTCCATAGAAACGTTATATTTTGCAAAATGTTTCATCTGAGAACTAATTGAGCGCAATTTTATCTTTTTATTTTAAACAATGCATAGTAGACTTTTGATTTACAGCCACAATAAAGCATAGCAATACATTTTTAAGAGTACAAGTGCAAACGATTCACCTGTGCCGTGGTCACAATGTTACATTACAAAATGAAACTCTTTCTTAAAGTTCATCTACTGTCTTTGATTTGATTAAAATATAAATCATATGTTCACTTTCTTTTTATATTTATTTTCTGTTCCGTTAAACAGTATTAAATGATATAAAGATATTCCTTTTCTTTTATCTAAAGCATGAATATGGAATTCATTGTTGTGAATAACTCTCGACTTACGTTATCATTTTTACATTCATCTAAAATTATGAAAAGGGGATTTTTCCGAAGACAACGTAAACAAAATTCAAACAATTCAATATTGCAGGCACAGTTTTAGTTTGGTCACAAAAGATAATAGATAGTGCAACATCGGCCACGCTGAACATCCCCCTCGCCGGCACCATCTTGAGTAGGGTTCATTATCCGACACTTTTAAATATTTAAATCAAGAACCCCGAAGAACAGGAAATATTTCAAGAATACGAAGTAGTGACTATTTACAGATAACACTCATTAAATACTTATCACTGCATTGAGATCCTTTTCTTCTTTTTATAATTTTATTTATTTAACTT